TGACAAATCGCAGAAACACGACAGGAAGCGAAGAAGACTTATGACAAAAAATAGAAAATTTCGTCAGGTCTACACTGGAAAACTGTGCAAGGGATTAAGAAATTGAATCCAAAAATATAACTTTCACATATCTTTTCAAAATCGTGCTGCGCGCGTTGGCAACCTTCCAAGCCACGGCTTTTAGCTCACCGTGATAGCTTCAAGCGCGTCAGATTGTTTATAGTGAGGAAGATGTGCTGAGTTGTCGACCTCACTCTCCCTTCCCACTCCCACATCCCAGCCGCTCTCCGAGCCGGTCAGCAGACTGGAGTGGGAAATGGGCACGGTGATTGTCATGGTCGACTGACCATAACTGCGCGCGTCACAGCGCGACCTGGCCCCCCATACACACAACACCAGGATTTCACACAACGATGGTTGAGCGGCTTGTCTCTCACTTGCGTGAGAGGGCCGTGGAAGGTGCTGTTTCAGCCCGTCCCCAGCCCACCAGTCCGCCACTCCACACAACACACACACAACGCGACGAACTGCGTGAGCCGAGAGAGGGCGTCAGCCAGCAGCCTTCCTATCCACGACGCTTGACGTGTCGGGATAGTCTCGGACTCAAGTCACCCTTGCAGCCGAAGCCGCATGGGGACCGAGTGGAGATGCGGACTTCCCATTTGCGTGGGAGGTGGCAGTTGGGTGCACGAGGTGTGTGAGTGTTGATTTCTGATGGTGGTGGTGGTGGTGGTGGTGGCGGCGGTGGTGGTGGTGGAGGTAGGGAGTGAGTGAATGTGTGGTGTGGCCGGCGGTTGTCTACCGCAGGTCGTCATGGATGCGCATGTGGCCGAATAGGCCCATGCGATGCCTGAAAGTGCGAGGGCAGTGTGGGCAGTTGAGACGAGCTTGGTGGGCATAGGTGGGTGCTCTAGGCACTGGTTCGCCGGTCTCTGTGCGATGGATTCGCATGTGACCGACCAGGCCGACGCGTGAGGTGAATGTGCGTGGACAGTGTGGGCATGAGAAGTCGGTGGTGTCATTGTCAGCTACAGAGGAGGCGGTGGTGGTGATGGTGGTGGTGGTGGCGGCGGCGGCGGCGGCGGCGGCGCAGACGGATGGAGCGAGGGTGGGGGTGTGCACGGTGGATGTGTTGGATGTGGTGGGTGTGTCGGAATTGTGGTCAGTTCCGCTCTCGTGAATGCGCATGTTACCGAATAGACTCCTACGATGCGTGAATGTGCGAGGGCAGTGTGGGCAGTGAAGGCGATTGCGGTGAGTGAAGGTTGGTGCTCCAGGCACTGGTTCGCCAACCTCTGTGCGATGTATTCGTAAGTGACCGACCAGGCCGATGTGTGAGGTGAAGGTGCGGTCGCAGTGAGGGCAGGTGTAGTCCTGATCCTCATCGCTGGAGTCGGGGGAGGTGGTGGTAGTGTCGGTTGTTGCGTGAGTGACAGTCGCCTGAGCGGCCGGCGCTGAAGCAGTGGGCGAGGAGGAGGAAGAGGAGGAGGAGGAAGAGGAGGAGGAGGAGGAGGGGGAGGAGGAGGAGCATGGAAGTGGTGCGTCAGAAGAATTGTCAGAGTAAGTTGGCGGTGGAGAGGAAGAGGAAGAGGCGGGCGGGGGGACGATGATTGGTGCAGTTCGAGCGGCGCAGTTGATCCGAAGATGTCCAACAAGTCCGATTCGATTCCTGAATGTCCGTTGGCATCAAGAACACGTTGGAAGCGGTTGTGCGGCGGCGTTGCGTACTGGGCGAAATTGTGATTTGCGGGCTTCACGTTTCGTTTGGCGGCAGCGATGCGGTTGGCTTCGTAGATCGCAGTGTCTGTCTTCACTGTCCTCCTCCAGGTCGGTCGATCGAGTGCGAGCTCTTCCCAGTTGGTGAGGTTGATTTGCAGGCGTTTCAGGGAGGACTTCAGGGTATCCTTGTAACGTCGAATCTGGCCTCCTTGACGGCGAGAACCCGTCGCGACGTCTCTGTAGAAGAGTCGTTTGGGTAGTCGCTCGTCGTCCATGCGCACCAGGTGGCCGCTCCAGCGCAGCTGCATTTGTCTCAACATGGAGTAGATGCTGAGCATTCCCGTTCGTTCCAGCACATCAGTGTCCGGGATGCGATCCTGCCAGTTCAGCCTCAGGATGCGACTAAGACAACTGAGGTGGAAGTTGTTCAGACGGCGTGCCTGCCTCGTGTACACCGTCCAGGTCTCCGCTCCATACAGTAGCGTCGGCAGGATGACGGCCTTGTTCATCTTCAGTTTCGTGCTTAGTTGAAGACCGTGACGATTCCAGACTGTGCGTTGAAGGCGACCGAAGGCTTGACTGGCTTTCGAGATCCTGTTGGCGACTTCGTCATCGATCTTGGTGTTGCGTGATAGGGTGCTGCCCAGGTACGGGAAGTTCTCCACCACTTGCAGTTGGGTTCCGTTCACGCTGATTTGCGGTGGCGCGTTGGGGACTGTGACTGAGTGGGGTGGCGGTTGGTGCATCACCACCGTCTTCTGCGTGTTAATGACCAGACCGAAGTTCTCGCAGGCGGCGGAGAACAGGTCCATGCTCCGTTGCATCTCCTCTTCCGAGGTGGTGTTCAGGGCGCAGTCGTCGGCGAATAGGAGTTCGTGCACGGTGGTTGTGGATACACGCGATTGGAATTTCATGCGCCGTTGATTCAAGAGATGACCGTCCGTTCTGTAGGCGATGCGGATTCCAGGGCGTTCGTCGCGGTAGGCGTCCATCAGCATGGCAGAGAACATAAGACTGAAGAGGGTAGGCGACAGTACGCAACCCTGCTTCACTCCATTGGTCACTGCGAATGACTCTGAGACAGCGCCGTTGTCCGTGACTCGCGCCATCATACCGTCATGCAGCTGACGCACCATCTGAGTGAATCGCTCCGGACAGCCGAATTTCTGCATGATCTTCCACAGTCCTTCACGATTCACCGTGTCGAAGGCTTTCGTCAGGTCCACGAAGGTAGAGTACAGGTGGGTCCGCATCTCCTGACACTTCTCCTAAAGTCGACGGGCGGCGAAGATCATATCCGTGGTCCCACGATGACGACGGAAAGCCGCATTGGCTTTCCGGCAGAAGGCCCTGTTCCAGATGGTTATTGAGGCGGTTGAGAAGGATGCGGGCGAAGATCTTCCCGGCGATGTTCAGCAGGGAGATGCCGCGGTGATTGTCGCAGACTTGGCGATTCCCTTTGCGCTTGTATAGGTGCACGATGGTTGCGTCCTTGAAGTCTTGCGGGACTTCGCCTTGACGCCACATCTCTTAGAAGAGCGCAGTCAGGTGATCCATCAGTAGGGGACCTCCATGCTTGTAGACTTCGGCAGGGATTGCGTCCGATCCGGGTGCTTTCCCGCTGGAGAGTTGCTGCACGGCCCTGATGGTTTCCTGGAGAGATGACGGGAGGTCGAGGTCCAAGTTGGTCTCCACTTGCGGCAAACGCTCGATGGCGGCGTCGGAGATGATGGAGGGGCGGCTGAGGACGCCTCGGAAATGCTCGGCCCATCGCTGTTGGACTTGCGTCTTCTCAGTCTGGAGAGTGTTGCCGTCGGCGCTGAGGAGAGGAGCAGTGCCCTTCGTCGGCGGACCGAAGACAGCTTTGAACGCAGAGAAGAAGTCCTTCCATTCGTTGTGGTCCGCGTACCCTTGGATCTCCTCAGCTTTGCGAGCAGTCCAGGCGTCCTGCATCTCGCGCAGCCGTTGTTGAAGCTGGAACCAACTGCGGTAGAAGGCAGCTTTGTTGTCCTCAGTGGGGTGATCCACGTAGGCTTTGTGTAGGCGGTTCTTCTCAGCAAGCAGATTTCTGATGGCGGCGTCGTTGTCGTCGAACCAGTCCTGGTGTTGGCGGGGCGCGCGACCGAGGACGGCGAGCGCCGTCGACTGAACCGTGTCTCTCAGTTGACACCAGCGGTTCTCCACGGAGGCGTTCTCGGCAGCGGCGGCGTCGGCAGCGATAGGAAAGTTGTCTAGCCTTTGAGCTAGCCCATTGCTGAAATGAAGATGGTGAGCGGGCAAAGACAACAAGGCAACATTCAGCTTACCTGGGGGTCGCTTACCTTGTGGTCTCCTGCGAGGCTGTAGGCGAATACGCATCTTCGATATGACGAGGCGATGGTCGGTCCACCCGTCAGCACCCGCGATCGCCTTCGTCACCAGCACCCCCCCCCCCGCTGGTCTCGCCTCCGGACGAGGACATAGTCCAGCAGGTGCCACCGAGGCGACCGAGGATGCCTCCAGGTGGCCTTCTCACGCTCCGGCGGACAGAAGAACGTGTTTATCGGGATGAGGCGGTGTTCTGCGCAGGTGCGGGGAAGCAGCAGACCATTGTCGTTGGAGCCGCGGAGACCGTGGGGACCCAGCACTCCTCTCCAGGCAGTATGGTCGGTGCCGACGTGGGCGTTGAAGTCACCAAGGACAATCAACTTGTCCGCCTTCGACACAGTCGCCAAGAGGGCGTGCAGGTCCTCGTAGAATTTATCTCTTGCGGCGGCGTCGGGGCTGCTCACCGGCGGAACGTAGGCGCTGACGATGGTGGCGAATTTGCCTTCACCCCGGAGAGGCAGACAGAGGCTTATCAGGCGATCTTTGATGCCCTGCGGCAGACTGGGCAGTCATCCCACGATGTCGTTCTGGATGGCAAAGGCGACACTCGCGTCTCGTCGCTCTGCCTTGGGTCGACCACTCCAGAAGAAGATGTAGCCGGCACCCATTTCCTCTAGTTGGCCTTGTTCGGAGAATCGGGTCTCGCTGAGTGCGGCGATGTCCACCTTGTAGCGCGCCAGTTCTTGTGCCACTAGAGCCGTCCTCCGCTCCGGTCGGTTGCTCCTCGGATTGTCTAAAAGGGAACGAAAATTCCAGGCTGGCAGAGTGAGCGGGCTCATCCTGCCATTCTGGGGACAACGAATGGGGCGACGGGAAGGAGGTGGAGAAGAATAGGGCGAAGGAGAAGAGTAGGCAGAAGAATAGGCAGAGGAAGAGAACGAAGAGTTAGGATGAGGGGAATGAGTATGGTTCATGTTGTTGTTGTTGTTGTTGTTGTTGTTGGTACTGTTGTTGTTTTGATTTTGATTCTTTCGACCGTGCCGATGACATCTGCGACCCTGGCTAGCCTGAAGACGGCGCGGTGCCGAGCAATGTTTAGGCCACCTTTTCTAAGCCCTTCCCCTCGTGGGGGCTGGCAGTGCCATCCCTGAATAGGGCTGCCATGTGCCGTTGTGGCACGGCCGAACTCCATTATGGGGCCACGTTTTCGAGTTGTAGTGGAGAGCGACTCGAATTCGCCGTAAGCCGCGGTCTCCGACGGCGTAGGTGGGCGCGTCAAGGCGATGTCGATGTGGAGGTACATCCCATCACCGGCTGTCCAGCGGCGTTCAGAGACGAACCACGTCACGACGGTGTCGACGCAGGATTCCATCCGACCTTGCATCCAGCGGAATCCGCAAACCCTGTGCACACGGCAGAGCGCACAGGGACCCCTCACCTGGTTTTAGCCCGCCGGTCGAGACGGTTGCCCGGGGTGTGGCCGCTGAGCAGAGCCCAGCTACGTGGAGCCACAGGTGAGGGCTGAGTGCCAGCAAGTGGACGCTAATCGTAGTCTCACCTGCAAGCAAGTTAGCGACCAACACGACCATCACGTGAACCCACCGCTGACACACCTACACCTCGATGATTGGCCTACATGCCTTATATCTCTCGCTTTTTCGGTTGCTGCTACTACGTCTGACGATGGACTACTGTACGAGTCTGAAAGTTCGGGACAAGTAACATAGTGTTCCGGTTCTCGACTCTTCTTTTCACTTATGCATACAACTTGAATTCGAAATTTCGCCTTCATTCACAATAATTGCGCCAACGTGACGGGAGGGATGTCTTTTGATCCTAAAGTGCAACTTTAAATGATTGTTTGATGTGGAGCGGCTGACTGTAGATGGTTGGGTTTTCAACTACCAGCGGGCAACATGGGAGACGTAAGGGCTACCGTAATATAATGCTATACTAAAGGTGCCCCATGGTTCTAGCTAAATCTAAATCCACCCTTGGCCGTAATTATATGTCTATCCACATTGGTAACTTTCATGGTTTCCCTCCAGGTGGCTATTGTCAAAGGCAAATCCATTTGCTGCCTCAGCCACTCGGACACCCGATAAATCCAGCACCATTATAAAATGTTTTCCTCCACAATCGGCGAACAGTGCCTCAAATACCCCGACTCAAAAAGTACCGTGTTCCCAACTGCCCCCCAGCCCTCATATCGAGGCAGTTAGGCCGAATATGCCGATTTTCCCACCGTTTAATAGACCTCT